GCATCTTCCGGAGCTGACCCATGGCTTTGCAGACTGGTCCCCATCCTAGCCCTTAGAAATCCATACTTACGCCATGAAGAGCTTAAGGTGATGTCAGCTGATGTTTTTATTCCGGAAGGGATAACTTGTTGCCCCCTCCAAAGCGGGATGGCTTGGAGGTGTGTGCGGCTGGGTTTATGAGACTTCATCCCATCATAAGCATACATGGCATTGTAGCGTTAATGTTATAGCTCACTCCCAAGTTTGATAGAAGTTACAACAACCCTTTTGAACGGCACAGTAAACTTTACCTGCACAGCCACTTACCTGGAAAGGATCTTCCTTTTTTGGTGTGATCCCACCTTTCCTCCAAGGATTTCCAGGGTGGAATCCATGCTTTCCCCCTTCCACATTTTATCCTCTTAAACAGCCTTGGGAAGTAGGTTAGGCTGAGAGACAGCCTAAAGTCACCCAATTAGCTTCCTGACCGAGTAGGGGATTGGATCCTGGCTTCCCAGGCCCTAGTCTAGCACTCAAACAACTACACCACACTGGATTAAACACCAAGGCAAAGCTTCAGTGTAACAAACAGATTGATTGCTATCTAAAAGTTGTTTTGGTTTTTTTTAAAGAATCATTATCCGTATACTCAGTCTGACCCAACAGATAATTGGCTAAGTTTTGAGTTTTGTTTTAACTTGGATAGAGAACCTGCCTTTGCTCCCTTTATAATTCGCCATTGCTGTGATTGGATAGGGTCTCTGGAGGGGATTTTTTAATGATTGATTGATTGGCTATAATTGCAATAGAACGGAAACGTGCTCCTGGCAAAATGCAGGGTTGTATATCAACAGACGTTTAATCCCCCAGTTAGCCTGGTTAACAACGGGAAAGCAAATCGGGCTTCTGAGCTGGGTTAGCAAACCTGACAACCTGAGCTGTTGGTGATTTGGCACCTTACCTGTGGGTTGTGGCTCCTTCCAGGGAACACCTCCGGGGACTGTAACGTTTTGCATTATTAGCACTGTAGAGCTTAGTTTTGGGGAAGGGCCATAGCTTAGTGCTTAGACCATCTGCTCTGCATGCAAAATAGTGAGAATCCACCTTGATGTCTTGGGAAATGTTGAATGGGGTCTAATGCACAGCAACAGATAAAGCGGGCTGATGTGTCGATGATAAATCCACTTCAAACATGCTTTGTGTCAGCAGCATGTTGCTGTATACACCTGCAATAAAACAGCAGTCTGGATGGAGTTCAGGGTTCCCTGCGTGCAATACGTCTGTGGCATGTACCTGCCCACACCCCACACGGGAGGAACAAAATCATGTTGCTTTTCCCCCATGCCGTTGCTCCAGTTCAGAGACAGCCAGTGTGGTGCTCTTCGGGTGTTACTGCACCCCAGTTACCTCCTGTTCCCATCAGCCCCAGTCAGCACGGCCAGTGGTCAGGGGAGCTGTGGTCCAGCTGCAGCCACAGGGCACCCCAATGGCTACCATCTGCCAAGGCTATAATAAAAACTAGGTTGTGGGATATTGAATGCCAAGAACTAACAGTAGCAGCAGAGAAAACATGTCCCCCTCTTTATTTTCAACTTTCTTGGGCACATGAAACTAACCACAATTACCTTGGATTTCTGCTTAACCCTCAAGAAAGAAGGGCATTTTCTCTGGCCAGGTTTAATTCAAATCCATCAAACCTCCTTTGGGGAAGGTTCTCAGGCAGGGTGGAAGGAGAAAGAACTTGCCCAGGTGAAGACCACCTGGTGAAAATCCTTACACATATGGTTCTTAATTGTAAACTATATGCTGATCTCCTGCCAGCAATTTCTAGATCAACTCTGTACCCCCAAATGGAAACCAGAGTTGGAGGTCATACAGTTTCTATTACTGGGGAATGATCAGGAGCTCACCAGGTTAGTGGCTAAATAACTCTATTTGGTTTTTTGTCGTCGAAATACACTGCAGACTTCTGATCTCCCTGGAGACCTAGAGATGTGACGATAGACTGCTCTGCCTCCTTTCTTTTAGCAAATGTTTTGTGCCACTAGGGAAGTGGTAATTCTGTATTGATTTGTATGTTCGTATGTGATGCCAATAAAAGGTTTGATGATGATGACCTCCCATTCCCATCAGCTCCAGTCAGCACGACCAGTGGTCAGGGGTGAATGGGAGCTATGGTCCAGCTGCACCCACAGGGCACCCCATGGGCTACACCTACAATTAACCATGATGATTTCCTCCACTATTGAATTCCAGTGCTGGAGTACGCCCATTGCTGTTGCACTCAAGTCCTGTATCCGGGCTTCACAAGGGCACCTGGTTGTCTGCGGTGAGAATGAGATGCAGGACTAGATGGGCCTCCTTTGGCCTGATCCAGCAGGGCTCTTTATAGGTTTATGAGAGAGGCGATACTGGCTTGGGGAGCCTGGCTGCCTTGCTTCCTGACTTGGGACAGGTGGCAGCTTGGGAAATTTAGGAGGAGGGGGCTTCAGCATCATATCTGCCTAATGGTAGAGCTGGCCCCACCTTCCTAATAAGGGGCTTCTGAGGGTGCTCTTGCCTGCCTGTTGCTTATAGTGTGCCTTTTTGCCTCCCCGTGGCGCTTGCTGTCTTAGGCCATTGATGCCAGGGAAGAGAATTATCCTCCTAAGAGAAAACGGCTGTTTAGTATGAAGCCCATATAAGCTTCACGATATCCGATTATGGGTTGCGCTGTGCCATATGGGTGCCATTTAGTGTACCTGCAAGATATTAAGCTTTTTAGTTGGCCTGCTCTTTGAGCGCCTAAGTGCATTATATCAATAAAATCTCGTTTAAAATCTGGCACAGAATGGCTTGAATCGGGGTTTTTCCTTGCTTCTCTGCACATGGTTTTCATTAGGTAGAACATGCATTTGATGGAGCAGACAAAGGGATGTGTGTTTCTGTCTCTTGTCCTTTCCTTCTGGTATTTGGGGAGAGTAAATCGGACACCTGACGAAGTTTGAGGGCCCAGCTCATAAGGCAACTTCAGAACTTCATGAGATGAAAGTTCACCAAGAGAAATGCCGAGGTGGTGTCGGAGGTGAACACCACCGTAAGCAACTTCTCCCTTTCCTAAGAAAACTCATCAGTTGCAAATTAACGTGGCAGTGTGTTGCTCTGTAGTGCCCTTTTCTCAAAACTTCTGATCTGCTTCCTGTTATGTGCTGAAAGCAAAACTTTCCACAGAGGAATGCAAGAACGGCAGAAGTCTGCATGCATCTTTTTACTTTTCCATGCTGCTGATGGGCGCAAGGGTTGATGTTACCTGTAGATGCTGTAATTTCCACATGCCCTGAATGGTACAGAAAGGAAGTGGTGACTGATGGCTTTTGTGAGGGTTGAAGTGAGTCACTGCGTGTGAGTGCATTGGTGGGAGACTTTCACTCTCCAAACAACTAAAAAACATTTGGGGGTGGCAGCAGCAGGGGGGTGGGTGGGAGCTGATGCTATTAATCTAGACTAGAGGTGGGGAACTTCAAATGTGGCCCTCCAGATCTCTGTCTGCTTCTCAGGACTCTTCCCAGGCCACAGCCTTCACTGGTCTTGCTTCACATCTTCCTTGAGTGTTTTTGCCTGGCTGGAAATGGGCCCTTGAACTTGGACAATCCCTGGTTGCTTGGCTGGAAGATGCTCTGCCCAAATTGGCTTCTGCTCCAGCACTGGCTTGTGGCCCTGGGGTGATGCCCAGAAAATATTGTGTGGCCCTCTGTCTGGAAAAGAGTCCCCATCCCTGATAAAGACCACCTCCAATGTTTTTTTAGTAAAAGCCACATAATCCAACACAAGCCCTAGGTAGAGCAGACCAACTGAAGTTAATGAACCTGACTAACATAAGCCTCTTAATTTCAGTCGATCTATGAGTAGGATGCTTAACCTGACTTCTGCACTAGATTAGATTCTTTCTAAACTCATTTATTCAAAGTATTTTTATATGGGGTGGTGGGAAGGGTTCTCAGAGCAGCTTGCAGATGTATCAGCAATAAAGATAGCCCCTGAGCTTAGATATACAGTCAAAGGGTTGCATCCAGATAAGTTCTACTTGGAGTAAACCCATTGAAATGAAAAGACCTAGGTCACCCATTAATTTCCTTGAGTCTACACTAGGTATGGCTAATGTTGGACACAACCCAAGGACCACAACACACAAGGAAAAGTGATTGGGAGGGGAAGGGGGGGATGAGCAAAAGCAAATGCTGGTTCTTGTTCCTAGTTGCGGAATTCCCAGAATGCAAACCATTGAAAGGCAGGAGGAGGAGCTCAAAGTTGCTGGTCTCTCAGCTGAGCCAGTGGAGAATCCCTGCTGCCTCATCTCTCCCTCTGATATTGCTTGATTCTGAATACCCCCTTTCTGCCTCCCAGTTACGTTGCCAGAACCCTGCTAACCTGATTTCCGCCACTTCCCACTAATTGCTACGTGGTTACAAAAATTTTCTATTACGGGGTTTGTTTTGTCGAGCTTCTAAATGTAGAATCCTCTTAATTGGGACACCATGTCAGGCTGCGTATTGTCCCCAAAAAACACAGCTGGTACCAAATATAAAAGGCCTTTTAAAGGGACATGATTATTGCAACAGCTTACTAAAAATAAGTCCCCTCGTTTCAAAATTTCTAGCAGGTGAAATGTTCAAAACACCTTGCATGAATTATTTCGGGGATGCTTTCAGCTTAAAGTGGTACGATGCTGCTTTAAATGCATAGTGCAGATGCAGCCTCAGTGTTCGACCGAAATGCACCTTAACCCTGTTAGATTCTGTTCTCTTGACAGCCCTCCAGGAAAGTATTCTCTAAAGTAGGCGTAGGCCCTCCAGATGTTTGGGACTACAGTTCCCATCATCCCTGACCACTGGTCCTGTTAGCTAGGGATGATGGGAATTGTAGTCCCAAACATCTGGAGGGCCGGAGTTTGCCTATGCCTGGTCTAAAGCCCAAGCTTAGGCTCTAGTCTAGCTGTGTAAACCTGGATCATTGATTTGCTTTTGGGTTTTTCCCCCCTGCAGGTGAAAGACCTGACCAAGTTCTTGGACCCCGCTGGGCTTGGAGTAATCAGCTTTGAAGACTTCTATCGAGGAATCTCAGCTATCAGGAACGGAGGTTGGTATTTCTTCCTACGCCCCGAGATTGGGAGGAAGGCAGCCCAAGCACTTCCTGAACCTTCCCAGCATCAAGGCATTTCCTGACATTGTTGATGTACCCCCTCCCCTCCCCCAGGGTATTTCATGCCTCTTCCTTGAAATGTCAGTGTCCTCCTTTGAAAGAATAAGAGATAAGGGGTGGTGGTGTCCGCTTAGGTCATTATCATTCTGATTGCTTACTAGGGAGTAACACAGGGAGTAGGGAGGGAAGGCACTGTGCATCACTAAATTATGGAATCCGCTCCCACAAGAAGCAGTGGTGGCTGCCAATTTGGATGGCTAATCATCTCTGGTTAAAAGAAGGGTTTGGACAGCAGTACTGAGAAAAGGCTGTATCTGTCACTGAAGGGCTGCTGTCAGTCAGAGCGGACAGTAAAGGACTAGATGAACTGACTGGCCAGTGCTGTGTCACATGCGCCAACTTCCACTCTGTTTCTGAGTGTTGACTTGACTACTTTTTGTCTCAAGCTAATTCCAGGTTCATGGCTCTTGCATTAATATACAAAGCCCTCAAGCACTGTTGGCAGCTCCCCTGGGTCTCAGAAGCCTGACTGGCCTCAACGAAAAGTTGGGACATTTCGTGTTGCTGCTCTCATGCTTTCAGAATGTAAAAGGAGCCTGCTGGATCAGGCCAGTGACCCATCTAGACCAGCATCCTGTTCTCACAGTGGCTAACCAGATGCCTGTGCAGGAAACCTGCAAGCAGTGCCTGAGAACAAGGGCGCTCTCCCTTCCTCTTTTAAAGCCATCCAAGTCGGTGGTCATCACTGCCTCCCGTGGGAACAAGTGCCAGAGTTTTAACTATGAACATATGAAGAAGTCCTGAATTATGGTATCTGTCCTGAATTATCCAGTGTTCAGCTTCGCTGAATTTCCATGAGTTCTACTGTTAGGCGGGATCAAATCTTTTCTCTATTCACTCCATTCATTCCGTGTATAATTTCATAAGCTTCTAGCATGTCGCCTCTTACTTACTTTTTCTCCTACAAGCTAGAAAGTCCCAAATGTTGCAACCTTCCCTCACGAGGGAATCCCTTCAACCCCTCGATCATTTTGGTAGGCCTGTTCTGAACCTTTTCCAACTCTACAATATCCTTTTTAAGGTGAATACTCTTTTCAGGAAGCATCTTTGCTGTTGACTTTTAGACATTACTTGAAGACCTTTTCATGCTGCGATGTGCAGATGCCTGTGCAGATGCTTAAACTTCTTTGATTAATCCATTTTAATGACTATTTTGTATTGTTCTCAGCGGCATTTTATGTTCTGTCAAACTTAAGTGTCTTACAGGGCCTTGATATTTGAGTTGGAAGCATATAAATACTTTCGATAAAGTAATAAAAGATAAATACTCCCTTGCAATGCTTGGAGCGTCCGAAGGTTGCCGCTTTGGAAAGCGTCACTCTGTCCTCTTTGTCTCTGTGGCCAGGAGGACTGAAAATTCTGTTCTGTGCTACAGAACCATGGGCACGTCAGAGGAAACACTAACTTTGGAATCTTCGAAAATTCACATCGGAACAACCTCTGCTCAGTTCCAAACGCTTTAGGGGCAATTGTCCTAGGATAAAGCTGTCACTACAAATGTATGTTTAAAAGATACAGCTTGGGAGGCGGCAATGGAAATCTTAAGAGTGTTTGTGCTATGCTCTCTAGAACAGCTTTCTCAGAGACATGGCTTCAGGTTTCTTTTCCATAATTCATTGCTTGCAGTATCATGGTGTTGCGCTAATTAGATAGAAGTAACAACTAACAAAGCCCTTTAATTCAGGGCTCCCTTAACTATAAGTCTTTGGAGTTGAATAATTTTGGGCTTTCTTATAGTGACTGAATTTGAAGTATCCCTCAAACCCTGTTCTTTCTTTCTTCCTGTCGACAACTAGTGACATTAAGAGATTCCAGAGCCTCTTGGTTTGAGAATAGTGGTCGTTTTTCCTGAGGTGTTGGTACTGGGAGAGCAGGTGAAGGTGGCACCTCATCTGGAGTAATGTGCTGAAACATAGGAATATGCCTTATACTGATTCTCAAAGTACAGTAGTACCTCTGGATGCGAACGTGATCCGTTCTGGAGTCCCGTTTGCATCCTGAAGCAAACGCAACGCGCGGGTCACGATTCGTTTCTTCTGTGGATGCACGTGATGTCATTTTGAGCGTCTGCGCATGCGCAAGCGGCAAAACCTGGAAGTACAGTGGTGCCTCTAGATGCGAACAGGATCCGTTCCGGAGCCCTGTTCGCATCTAGAAGCAAACGTAAGCAGCAATGGCATGTCTGTGCATGCGCGCGTTGCTTTTCGCCGCTTCTGCGCATGCGCGTGACGTCATTTTGAGCGTCTGCGCAGGCGCAAGTGGCGAAACCCGGAAGTAATGCGCTCCGTTACTTCCGGGTTGCTGCAGAGCGCAACTTGAATGCGCTCATCCCGAAGCACATTCAACCTGAGGTATGACTGTAATGCGTTCTGTTACTTCCGGGTTGCCGTGGAGCGCAACCCGAAAACGCTCATCCTGAAGCAACTTTAACCCGAGGTATGACTGTATTGGTCTTTCTAGCTCAGAATTGTCCACACTGTGTGGCAGTGGCTCTCCAGGGTATCACAGGGTCTTCTCCCAGCCCTACCTACAGATACTGGTGATTGAACGTGGGCCTTCTGCATGCAAGACAGATAGATGCTCTAGGACTGAGGATTCAAGCGCAAGAGCACCATCCCCTTCTGTGGTTTCCAGCAACTGGTATTCAGAAGCATTTGCCTTCCACTGCGGCAGCTGAGCATAGCCATGAAACTGAAACAGGGGAGAAGCCCAGTTCCTGGCAATTTGGCAGCCTTGAGGCGTGATGTGTTTCCTAGGCCTACGCTGCACAAAGCCGTTGTTGGCTTCTTCCCCACAGCAATTCTTAAAGCTTCCACTGGTGAAGCAAGCAGGTTTTGCTGACTAATGTCACACCCGAAAGTACATGATGCAGTTGGCAACAAACAAAATATCTTTTTTTATACCTAGCCTTTCTTGCTTAGTCTGCTGACACAAATGCTAACTTTCTTCCCACCCCCTTGTGATATATCTGCATTGCAGTTCACTTTTTCTCAGCTGAAGGGAAATTGGAAGTTGTTCGGTCACATGGATGGGTAGGGCCGGGGGAAACTCCCTACCTGGAATTAGTTATGTTTTTTTTTACAATAGTATCAGATCCAGATTGTTTAAGACTCTAAACTATAAGCAAAACTTGTCCTTGGTTCAAATGCTGCTTCTGTGAACATGCTAGGGCAAAATCCAGTGGTGGTAGAGCCCAGAAATGAGAGTTGGGCTGTACTACATCAGATTGCTGATGAGTGAACTCTTTTGTGCACCCGCCCCCCCAAAGAAAAGAAATACTTTGTAAGTGGAAAGCTAGTGTAAAGGTAAAGGACCCTTGGGTGGTTAAGTCCAGTCAAAGGCGACTATGGGGTTGTGACGCTCATCTCACCCCTTTTCAAACACCCTCGCTTGTGGAGTGTTCCCTCATCCTCCTCTCCTCTTCCCTCTCCGTAGGACAGCCTCTCTGGGCAGCCACTGCTGCTGCCCCTGGTCTCTGAGCTGCATCCCCCAATTCCAGGGAGAGGTGCTTCCTCACCGTGCCCCACAGAGGCCGGGGAAGCACCCCTTGGCCAGCCCCAGAGGCACCATTCACCCCAGGGAGCTTGTAGCCAGGGCTGCTGCAACCAATAGCCATGCAAGCCTTTGGGAGGCAGAGATGCAAGAGGACATCAGAGGCAGGAGGGAAAGAAAGAGGGACAGAGGCCATGTTGCCCACGGCACCCCTGACCATCATTCAAGGCACCCCAGGGTGCCATGGCACACTGGTTGAAAACCACTGATTTAGTATCATCAGCAAACTTGACTACCTCACTGCTCACTCCTAATTCTAGACCGTTTATGAGCCAGTTAAAAAGCACAGTTTCCAATACCAATCCTTTGGGGAGGGGGGAAGGACTCCTTTTTCTACTTCTCTCTATTCAGAGAACTGTCCATTTATTCTCACTCTTTGCTTCCTGCAACCTAACCAATTCCTGATCCACAAGAGGACTTCTCCTGTTATTTCTTGACCAGTAAACTTACTCAGGAGTCTCTGGTGAAGTCCATAAGGACAACCCTAAGACTAAGGAGGAAGAAGCTTGCAGGTTGTGCCACCCCTTGGACTGGTTGTAAGTAAGAAAGCGGGCAGGCTGAGACTGGGGTGACAGTGCCCTATTTGGACACTGCAATCTTCAAGCGACAAACGTGTGTGCGTATGTGCGAATTTTCCTTAAATTGGCTACGAAAGTAGACTCTCCGGCACATCTACTCAGATGGACTCCTCCCTCATTTTCACCAGTGATCTGGCGGTCTTCATAGCCTCCTCCTCCTCTACTAGCTTAGCAGCATCTGAGCAGATGATCCAATGCGTTGACCTACTTTTTCCGAGAGGAGAAGCGGCAAGGAAGTTTGTAACAGTGATGTCGGTTTGCCTTTGCCTACTGCAAACTCAAAATGGGGATGGCAGGAAGCTACCCAGATGTGGAGCATTGAGGTCGTTGCGTTGACATCACAGCCTTGAGGCTCCAACCGAATGAAGGATTTGCAGGAAAATCTCTGGCCTTCTCGAAGCTTCTGCCTGTCTTCTTTTCCACTCTGCTCTTCTGCTGTATTCACTAGGCAGTTCTAGCACCAAGCCATCAGCACAGGAAGAATGCTAGACTCAGTTATCCACTGTGGCATATCATGATAACGATTTATCAGAATATCTAACATGCAGTGTTAGAAACTCAGATATATAATGTAATTGCCTAATGACACCTTAAACCTAGGTTACGATCACCACAATAGAACAACTCAGAATAAAACAAATTCAAGATTCAAGCGAAATATTTCAGATTCTTCTCTCAGGGACATTTTGCTTTCACCCTGTTTATTTACCTACTTAATTTATAGTGCTGCCCCCTAGCAGAAGTGTT